ATATATATATATATATATATATATATATATATATATATATATATATATATATATATATATATACCGACGTTTTGCATATATCTTGTCGATTCATATAATTTCTTGCTGGGTTAAAGAAATTTATTTTTCAAAAACGTTTATGGCACTTCATATTATTAAAATTTGAAATGTTGGGTTTACTTCTGCGATAAATAAAATGCGACATTTCATTAAGGAAGTACTTTCACAACAACTGTAACTTTTTGAGCCATTCAATATATTTCCAAGTCATAAAGCTTTGTTGTTGGAGAGTTTTAGTGGACTATTTTGAGACAAGGCCTTGTTTATTTTAAATAGATAATTCATGCTCTGTTTCGACGAAGTATGATTCCTTTATTACACAGTATATATTTTAGCCTGGAAATACCCATGCGGGTATTATATTGCCTCAATGGCTGAAGGAGGCTGAACAAGATAGAATGCGAAATAAATATCTTTCCAAAGAGACTAAGTAGGGAAAGTACTTACATTTATTTTCGTTGTAAGAGTTATTATCTCGCCTATGTCGACACATTCATAGAATGGAAAAAAATGAAAACAAAAACAAATACAAACTCAGTTGGAGAGGTTTAAAAGCAAAGCTGCAGAAAAACTGGTCTCAGATACATTTCTGGCAACACAATGCTCTAATATACATTTCTGGCAACTAGTCAAGCAGGAAAGTTTAAACTATTTATGCATAAACAAAACATTTCGTCGTGAATCTCATTTCCTAAATATAAAAGAAAAACAAGATTTTGGTGAAAGATGATAGTTGTATTACATGTTAGTTGTATCATGTTTTGAAACTACTAAGCATTTAGGCTTTGTAATTAAGCTTTGCTAGTTACATTATCAAGAATGAAGTAAGTTTGTATTGTGGATATATTGTATCATTTATTTGGTGGTTTTTTTCACCAGGTTTCGTTAAAAGACTTTCCATCCTATATTTCTCTAAATAAAACCTCAATATATATACCAACTAAATCGCTAACAGTTCTGGTTCATTCATTTTGTGTTACTTAATTCCCAAACTAACACGAGTCACATACATAAAAAAGGGAGACTTGAAGAAATGAAAGGGGATAATTACTGCATATTGGGTAAATATTTTGATATGCATTAAAATATTCCTAGCGTAATTTATATTATGTCCAGAAAAAATTCTGCTGCGCAATTTGGATAACTAGCACGAGCATAATTAAAAAAAAATTGTTGAGACATATTAAAATTGTAGAGGTATAATTAACTTGGCTACCAGCATAGTCGACGTTTTATGAGTTTTTTAGGTTCCGTATGAAAATGTTGGATTCTATTAATCCATTGGAAAAATTATATGCTGACAAAAGGAGTTTTTTAGGTTCCGTATGAAAATGTTGGATTATATTAATCCCTTGGAAAAACCATATGCTGACAAAATGACTGATACTAGCAGAGCAAAGCACACTCTACCTATGAATGCATTTTGAAACAATTAACAACTGCCGTAATCCTTTAGTCTGACATGTTGAAAAACACTTTTATTAGGATAGTAACTATGATTATTATGTTCCAGGAACGGCTCTTTGATCTGAGAAAAAGTCAAACATGTCTCTATAGACATCTACTCGACCAGAATTGTCAAATACTGGAGTTGTTGCGATACAAAACAAAAATCTGCAGACAAACCGATTGCCTTTATAGAAATAAACTATTGAAAGAATTAGCTTTCATTTTGATTTTATTTCCTGATAGCCACGTGACAGATAAACCTATTCAAAAGCAGATGTACATCATTCAGTTTTGTCAGTATCTGATAAAGATACAAAGAACATATAATAGTGTGAATCAACAAGATATTTCGAGAGAAAAAAAATCGTATGAAATATAATGTTTCAAGAAAATTGGCGTTATTTGAGCAAGAGAAGAAGAGAAAATATGCATTATTACGAGAGAAGGACTGCAATACTTACTGCAAGAATAATATTTAGGAAGTGATACAAAATTGCCAGAAGATGAAGTTTCATAAATCCAAATATAAAGACTAAATTATTTTGAAAAGCAAACATATTTTATTTCTAAACTACTGTTGTTTTTTAATCCAAAAATATTTTTTAAGCTTAATAAAAAAAACAACAAGTTAAACGTTTTAAACGTTTGTAACGTTAATAAAAAGTGCATCTAGAAATTTTATAAGTGAATCTTTTCTACATGTAGAATCATGTTTTAATTCCCCTTCCCCAGAATCCAGTAGGATATAAAAAGGCAGATGAACAGTGTAATTTGACACAAATGAATAGCTTTTCATTTGCAAGAATCACATATTTAAAAAAATGTTTTCACATTTCATTGCATGAGAAAATAAATGGCGTCTAAGACGTCGAATCAAGCACCTATAGGAAAAATGTAAAGTAAGAAATAATGAAAGGAGGTTCAGTCTTGTACCTTCTTTCTGAAGAACATAACAAAATATCGTTTATAAGATACAAACAAGGGACCAAACAATATTGCTTTTTATGAAAGTGTGTACTATATATATATATATATATATATATATATATATATATATATATATATATATATATATCTATATATATATATATATATATATATATATATATATATATATATATATATATATATATATATATATATATATATATATATATATATATATATATATATATATATATATATATATATATATATATAATGAAAGTTTAAAGTTCTATTGAAAACTACCATGGTAATAGAAATATCATTTATAAATAGGTGTCGTATAGAAGTGTCCGCTAAAAAAGTTTTAATCGTGCATCTAGTTTACTATCTTATGATCTTATAATCCACTTGTCAGTCATCAATCTTAAACAACGATGAAATCCTTAATTGTTAGAAGATTTGCTGCGCTATTTAATTTGTACCTTTCTTGGTTTTTCAGGCAATTTATATTTGAGCTTTTAATTTGCTTTCAACGGCGATTTCTTTTTGTACTTATCTTTTGATTTTAACGGCTAATTTTGTATGTATTTATTGTTTTTGTTTGATAGACAATATTAAATGTGTGCTTTAATGTTGGTTTTAATATCAATGCTATTGGTACATGTTTGTTAGTAATGTTAATATTCAATTTGTATATTTTGTTGGTTTTAATTGGACAAATAATACTATTAGTTCTTAGTTAGTTTGAACGACAAGTTTAGCTCATCATTCGCTTCATAATGCCGAGGATAAACGTGCTAAGTGCCTTCCCCAAGGACACAACAAGGCAGTGTAAATGAGCTGGCTTGGGTGTATATGGAACCATCGACCACTGCAAGGACAACTTAGCTACCGCGGCTCCTCCTGCGTATACAATATCTTGTTAGAATGTGCAGATGTTCTTGTTGTTCAGTCCTCAAATGTTTAATTACAGTGCAATGCAGTAAGTTTAAAATTTGACGACTCTATTGATCCATCATGTTATAATTCACTTGCATTACACGAGTCTTTGTGTTGTACAGTGAATTATTATATGCTTATTTTTTCCGTCTACTTTACTTTGTCAGAATAGTTCAGTATTTTATGATATTGCACTCGCGTGGAACTTCATATTGTACTCATATATATTCAGTAGTGTATTAGGAAATACTTTGTAATAAAATAATGTACACTCTCGTGGTTACTTTGTGGTTAAATAAATCTGTTTTAGAATGACCTAAAGGAGGTGTTTCGTTGACTGCCACATGTCAACAAGTGCTTTGGCTCATTCCGCATTAACATTTTTGATACAGTGTTTCAGATGTAGACTAGCTATAGACTTCATACAGGGTCCACACAAATAACAAGTGACAAAGCATGCACTGTCTTCTTTAGTTGGTAATAAAAATGGCAAACATATATTTACAGTTTTGCATCGTGAATTTCCTCAAATGTACGTTGTTAGTTCTGCAAATCGGAATTACATGAGTCTTGTTATGGGTTTTCAAGCTAGATTATACATTTCGAAATTGTCCTGTAATTTCGACTATATTCTAAGTGCTATTACATCCTCCTTACTGCACTCAAAATAAAATAAACATTAAATTCTATAGCGTCTTTTCGATGATTGAATGTTTTCCCCACATTATGATTTCAAAGATTCAATGACAAAACACACTTGCAGATGTCAACACGCTTCTACCTCGCTGCTTCAATCCGATGTGTTTCATATGGAATTGGCACAGGCGCTGATGAAATCCATGTACTTCACGTAGATAAATCCAGCCCTTAATCACGAAATGTCGTTGCATCGACAAAAATACCAAAGTCTATTCATTCCAGATCAAATGGAAAAGTTGTTTCAATGTGCATTCATTAAAAATATGACTCCAAATTTAAATTTTAAGGAGACCAAAACTCCATTTTCTCTTAAAACTTATGTCTAGCGCGCGATGAAGTCCAAGTTGATCTGGTTGGATTTATGTGCGCTTAAAAAATGTTGTTGTGTAACGACGAATCTGCGCTTGTGTATTCAGTTTGGATTACATCATAAATTCAGTTACTTTATTTCTTGTAGTGTATTATTTTTTTATATAATTAAGACTTGGTTAGAATAAGAAAATGAGCATATAATGAACAGGTTAATGCATTTGTATGGGAACATATGAACTCGTTTTGTTTGATAGATATACCGCACTCCCATGATCGTACAATATATCCATCGAAAAACTCGTTCATATTTTCCCAAACAAATGCAGTAACCTATAAAATTTGAAGAAATGTATATGTGCATCATAAGACAATGCAACCCTCCCCCCCCAAAAAAAAACAAAACAGATAAAGCAACTCATCCTAGTTTATTAGGGACATTATATGTTATAGTGCTTTTAGTTTTCTTTGCTAAATGTAATCCGAAGTATGTCAATTAGGTAATAGAATACTATTTTAACAGTCAGAGCACACTTACGGATATTCAGTTATTTTAACATTTTATACTCATGCATACATAAATAATTATCTAAAAGCAAGAACTTACTTCCACAGACGATTCGGTGAACTAGTGGTTAGAACGTCGGCCTCGGATGCGGGAAGTCACGGGTTCGATCCACGGCCGGGTCATACCAAAGTCTTTAGAAAATGGTACTGACAGCTGCCTCGCTTAGCGCTCAGCAATGAGGTTAGTGTTGGGACTGGTCGGCCTGGTGTCAGGATAATGTGCCTGGGTGGGACACCATACCACATGTCTGTGGCATGATGTCCCAGTGCTAGACATCACTATTAACTGTCACATTGCAGACATCGTATAGATATGACTAAAAATTTGGTAAAGCTACTTTAACAATCAAAATCACACATACACACTTGTTCCACAGATAAGAATATTTTCTGTGAAATGATAAACTTAAATATGACAATTTACTTTTCATAACCACCATTACAAACATAAAAATCATACTGTCAGATTTTTTGATGAGACAATATGCTGCGAAATGATAACCTTTACAAATTATGTTTAGTTTTGCAATTCGTCTGTTTTTTATACTTTGCAAATGAAGGCTTCAAATTACCTTTTGGAATTGTAAGAAGTCGGGACATTTAACGAGATGTATGCTGTCTGCATCTGTTTTCTACGACTGTTAAAAAGCAATAAAGAAAATAAATGAAAACAAATATATTTAATAACTATTTCTACATCTCTGCCAGTAGACGCTTATCAAACCAGACAATTGGCGGAGTAAAAGTGTACCTGTCCATATAAAATGTTCTATATTTATGCAAAATGTATCATGAGACCTACAGTTTATAACTGATCAAGTGTCATACAGCTTAAAGCTTACAGTAACCACACACATATATACCAACACACAAACACCCTAATTAAAGTATGCATGGTGTACAACAATAATATTGCGCACACGCTCACAATACACAATTATATTTTAGTAATATTTTCGACCTAATGTTAGTTTTGTTATATACCATGACTAAAATATTTATTTATAGCACGTGTTTATTAGTATTACACTGTAATGATATCTGTAACAGTGAGCTTTCTTGCGTTTCATCATTGTTAGTCTAAATACAAAGAAGAACACAAAACAAAGACCGTTATACCTGGTCCAAGCTAACCACGTTCTTTTTCTTCTGATATGTTATTATAGTTTTCTGAATTCATTATTATCGGATTCAACGTTCTATGCAATTGGGTCAGTAATGATTATTTGCTCTACTTATGTATGCGATAATGTTATTTTACGGAATCTCATGGACGAATGATACTGGTTTTGAATGCATTGTTCTTTTCTGTATTGCAGACTTGACATTTGATTGTAATTTGTACTTCAATGAACAAAAAATATTTCCAATATTCGACATCCAGATGAAGCATATATTAATAAAAAAGCAAGATGGGATATCCGTAGGACGACTGTGTAACTTGAATAGGAGCTGAAATATCCCATCTAACCTTTGTTGTACTCCGAATTATTATATTTTTTATGGTGATAGCAAAGGTTATTCTTTGTCTATGGTGTTATTAAAAGTTTTGGATATGCTTTTAATATGTTAAACTTTTGTGCCACTAATGGAAGAAAACTAAAAGTGAACGAGAAGAAATGTGTCAATGCATGGATCAATATAAAGGGTCCAGAATCATTTAAGGGTGACGTAATCTAAAGAACACTTATCAAAATCAATGTATAGACATGGTGATAGAGAAAGAAGCTACAGAAGAAATTAGAAGTTTTTGCCAATCTCAATGATATCTGTGGCGTTGTGGAAAGCAATGTGGCCCTAAAAATAATTCTGTGTACCAGGGTATTACCAAATTACGAAAAACAGAAAAGAAATAAAACCATCAAGTCTTGTGAATTTCAGCAAATATTTACCAAGAATACAAGTGAAATTTTAAATGAACTCACAGTAGCATGAATTAAACCCCTTTTTATCATAAGTTCATAAGTATATAATATTCCGAATGAGAACTCTATATCAATTTTGAATGTGCTGATGTACCAAATATTTATGAGCATTTTGTAATTCCAACGAATATTTTTGATAAATAAATCCCCTTTAATGTTAAATGAAACTTACATCAAATAATATATGAAATACAGCTAAAATTGATTACTCTAAAGACTGATGTTTTCATAGCAATAACGAATTTATGTCTACTTCTCCCATAAATAAAAACAATGCCGCAAAGCAGAACTATGATAAAGGTCATTTTATCGTAAAATTCATAAGGAAGATCATGTCTAGAAACTTACAAATTCAGCATCCAGGATAAATGTGTTGACTACATGTAATAGTTATTTTAATGTATAATATGCAATCATATACAAATATTAGCTTCGTAAAATGTTGTTTACAGAAAAGGCATTTGTCAGGTATGCCAAATTTTTACCCTCAGTTATATGAAAAGGTCAATCACACAACACAGATTAAATAAACGTCACACCTCTCCTTATAAAATAAAGATCAAAAAAGCTATCTTTACATATTAATTAAATATACATATGATAATATAATTAAAATTACATTAATGGATTACGTCACAAAATATACATAATGCAATATCGTACTTCTACTCACGTGAAAGTACATCTTTTTGCTTGATGTGAATGACGCCAATATTGTATTCCTGCACGATAAGACTCCACCAAAACAATTTCCAATTATTTTTCATTTTGTTAATGAAAGCAAAAGGTTGTAAATCACTCAGTACAATAATTAGAGGAGGTGAACTAATCCACACTTGACATTGTTGCAAATCGAGTATCACAACTAAGCATTCCATGTTGATTGTAGAATAATTTTTCTGTTGCTTATTTAATTTTGGTTTAGAAAAATACACCATTCTGTCTTCTTGAATCGATACTCCACCAGCCTCCGCATCAATAACATTAACAAACTTATATGATTCAATGAAACTTTCTACTGATATGTACAGAGAATTCAGAGATGTCCTTGACCTTACCATCTTTAGGTTTAACTTGTCCAAACCAAACATTATGATCTAACATTATGTCACAATCAAGGCAAGACTAACTTTTACATAATTTATATGTCCAATTTGCATCAATGAGTCGATTGATGAATTTCTGAATGTTTCCAAGTAATCATACTAGTTAGATGATATACGCATTACAATTATATAGATCAGATATAATCATGTTATTAAATTTTGGAAAGTTGACGTCGAACCATTCATATCCAATGAATTTGTCGGAGTCCTTTAAAAATGTCAGATTCATATTTTGCATTTTCAATTTTGTCAATGGAGGCATTGAGTTTTGTATTGAAAAATAATTTCATTGGTGACTCTGTTTACTTGTCTATAATCAGTACACAGGAAAGTACTATTTGGTTTCGGTATTAGAATACATGATGAACTCATTTACTTCAACTTAGTTCTTTGAAATAATTACCAGCAAATACGGAATGTTTTAAATATTCCTGTTTGAGAAGATCCAGACTGTAAGAGTGCTGTTTTATAGGTATATGATCGACAATTTCAGCGTTATGGTAGATTGTATTTATTCGTTTTGGAACATTTGCAAACATAGTGCTCATATTTTTAATTCTATTGTTTATTGTGGCTTTCGATCTGAAAGTTTCTTGTTCAGACTGTTTAATATTTCTGAAATGCGAAGATTAGTTATATCGAAGCCTCTAAAGTCCTTCTGCATGCTTCATTTAAATACTCACTGTTAGACAGATACAACTAAATTGACTGAATGATGAGCAGGGCTATCTCTATCAACATATTTCTTTACTGTATTTATATGGAGAAGTTGTTTGAGGATATAATTTCAGTCCTGTACTTTTTTCTTAGTCTGAAGAGTACTTTAGCGTATGATAAAAAGATCCAGAGCTCTATCACAAGGGCGAAAATTCAGCTCTTCTGCAGTTCTTTTATATCTTAATTTCAGTTTGACTGTTTAGTGTAAAAATTAGGTTTTGCTACTTCACAATTGACAACTTATATTTGAAATCTAAAACATAGTCAAGAAGATTAATTTATCAATCTTTAGTTTAAAGAAGTTTCTCTTTAAAAAGGTTAATGGTCCACGGACAGTATCTCCAAAATATTAGTTGACAAGGACATCCCAATGATTCTTTAAATAATTCCCTAGCAGTAAACGAACATCTTTGTCCAAGTGTTTTACCGTTTCAAAACAATATGGCCGAATATTATTTTTCAGAGTTTGACAATTTTTTAAAAAGATCTCATTGAAGTTCAGAGTAATAAACCGTTGACGTAAACTGTTGGATGCCTAATTTGTAAATAATTTGATGGAAAATTCCAAACATGAAATTTCATATTGTCTTGAGCCTCTTGAAATCTTGCAAATACGAAATGTATAGTCAGCAAGAACTGGCTGACTGACATTGGTTTAGGAGAGCGACAAATACATTCTTCAATTAATCTGCTGTAAGTTTAGTCAAATGCATCAATAGGTTTCTGACGATCCTTAGACATTTTCTGATTGGAGTTTCCTACTATTTGACAATTGTGACAAGATCAGTTATATTTAGAAACATCATGTTTTGTCTTCAACTACAATAAAGGATTCAAGATTTTGTGGCAAGATGTATTGACTTCTAAATCATCAGAAAAGAAGGTTTTATGGGCTTGACTAAGATGTCTTGCTTATATGAGGTAGGAACAAGGTGTTGATTGCTCACTGATGACTCATCACCAGCGGGTATTCCGGGATGGTCTCCCATTAAGAACCATATTTACCACTGAAATGAAAAAATAGTACTTGTTTGCATCAATGTTGCTAGCAGCCATCACAAACAAACAGTATATCACAGGATCTTGTTCCTGTTCCACAATGAGTAACTATCTTTAGTCACCATGAGTAGAGTAAAAATAATGAGTAATAAAAAAAGGATCACTGTGATCATTACATCTTGATTGATCATATCACAAAGCTTGTCAAAAGTCTGACTATAACATTTGACAGCAAAATGAATAATTTCCTGATCAATATCATTCTCAAGTTCTATATTTCCATAGCTCTTGTAGCTGCACAAACAGGTTCTAAATTAAGGATTTCATTCTGATCAAGATCAACCTTCTGATCCAAACAAGGCTTGTGCATTGCAAG